TTCCATCTTATATGTATTGCACCTTTTGTTTTAATCCATTCATCTATCTGTGGACATTTGGGTTGCTATTGTGAGTGGAGCCGTAATGAACAAGGGTGTGCACAAGATCTTTGAGATCTTGCTTTCAGTTTGTATATGTAACCCAGAAATGGAATTGCTAGACATACAGTATTTCTGTTTCATTTTTTGAGGGGCTTGCATGCTGTTTATCATAGGGCTGCACAGATTTCTTACTTCTCCACCTGTTCTTCAATACTTGTTATTTCCTATTTTGAGATAGTGACCATCTTAATGGGCTCAATGAGATTTTTTGATTTGCATTTAATATTTGAGCATCTTTTCATATGTTTTTAGGCCTTTTGCATATCTTCTTTAGGGAAATGTCTATTCAAGTCCTTTCCCCAGCAATTAATAATGCTTCTTATTTAGGAGAAATGGCTCCGAATTGTCATATTCAAATCATTTTTTTTGTTGTTTTGTTTTACAATGATAACATATTAATAACTCAGTGTTAGATTCATATTTGCACCACTGGTGGTCAATACTAGTGTTACAGAGCATAGGGAATGGAAGATATATTTGTGAAATGACCCAAGAAATTATACAAAATGGAGGTAGAGTGTTCCCTGGATGTTGAGAGAATGGGGAGATGTGAGACGGGAGATTGAAGAAGTCCTCCCTGATGAGGGAAGGAGATGGGCAATGCCCCAGTGGAGGGGGGGTTGCAGATAGCAGAACAGCAGCAGCCAGATTGTCTGGACTTCTTTAGATAGGAATGAAGTGAAGCTGGTGTAAGGGCCACACATGGCCAAATGCATTGGCAATGAGGGCTATGTCAATGTCCTTTGGGTCAACCAGAGGTTTCAGGTTAAAGTTCTATACAGGCCAGGAATAAGCACATCTCTATGTGGGCCAGGCCTGCTCCCACACACATCCATCTTCCTGCTAAGAATGGCCTGAAGGCATCCCTTTCCTTAATGTCACCACTCTCAAACAGAAAGTGGCCAGGGTCTGACAACTCTGGGCTGGGAAATTCTTTGTCATTATGCATCACAATAATCAGAAATGTTGTCCTGCCTGTGGGATGAGGTAGTTTCTGAACTGATATCACAAGTCACTGCATGGAGCAGGGTGGCAAAGATTTGGTCAGTGTCTTTCTGTCTCATGCATTGTAACACCGTATGGGGCATGCTGCTCTGTCCTGCATACAGGGGCTCTGGTGTCTGTTGACCACCTCGTCAGTCTCTTCCTGGACTTCAGCTGTGGCCTCCAGATTTCTGCATAAGTAGGACTCCATACCTTAGGGAGCAACTCAGTGTTTCCATTCTAGCTCCAAACACATTAGTATCAGTGGCCATCAAGCTTTCAAAAGTAAATTTAGACTTGATTTTGCTTTTTCTGTTCCATTTGGATCAGGTAACAATCAGTGAAATCCCAAGGATTGTTAGCATCCATAAATTCTTGGTGTTCTTTTACTTTCTCCAAAACATACCGTTTTTAAAAAATATTTTTTAGTTGTAGATGGACACAGTATCTGTATTTATTTTTATGTGGTGCTGAGGATCAAACCAAGTGCCTCACGCATGCAAGGCAAGTGCTCTACCACTGAGCCACAACCCCTGCCCCAAAACATAACTTTTTATATGGCAACATATATAAGCACCGACAGTGACTCCCTGGGAGAAAATCAAGGAGAGTAGGGGACATTATCATCTAACTGGATCCATGGGGAGCTCATTTTCCATCCAGTTAAGAAAATTCTGGTCTGTATAATTAAAATGTTTCTGCAAGATAAGGGAGCAGATCATACTGCATGGGGCACAGCTCAGGATAAAAGTAGGATCACAGGTGAGGGCCTTGGCATTTCTCAACTCCTTTATGAGGCAGTGGGATTCGTCTTGAGTGTGCTACTCAGTGTTCCTCTTTTCCATCTGGAAATTTTGCAAGGCCATGAGAGAGAAGCACTGGATTTTTTTTTTTTTTTCATCTCTTTCCATTGCTGATAAGGATTCCAAGCTTTATATTATTTTTTTCACCTATCGGGAAATGACTGTTTTCCTGAAAACACTTCTCCAGGGTTAACCAGGGCTTCCCTCACTGCGTCATATCCACACAACACCATTGCTGGCTTAATGCCAAAACATAGAGTGATCACAGCACCACAGACTGTTGAAAACTGGTTTCCTTAGCACTTGGGAAGGTATTTTTGTGTGTGGATAGTTGTTCAAATTGCTGTTTCTCTGGGGTCCAATCACTGGAGAGTCTTACTCCACTTTCCCGCTCTACCCTTACCCTTTGTTCATTTTTAAATCACATTAGGTTGTTGTTGTTGAGTTATAGGAGTTCTTTATATATTTGGGATATTAATCCCTTATCAGATGGATGCAAATGTTTTTCATCTTTTTTATTTTTTGTGATTTACAAATATTTTTTCCCATTCCATAAATTGACTTTTCACTCTATTGGAGTGTTAATACATTCCATTGATGCACAGAAGTTTATAAGTTTGATGAGCTCCCATTTGTCTATTTTTCTTTGGTTGCTTGTGTTTTCAGTGCCACAGCCAATAAATAATTGCCAAATCTCGTAAAGATTTTCACCTGTTTTCTTCTAGGAGTTTCATAGTTTGGGGTCTTATATTTAGGTCTTATGTTCATTTATAATAAATTTTTGTATATGGAGTAAAGGTAGGATTTCACTTCATTCTTTTGCAAGTTAATATCCAGTTTTCTCAGCACTATTTGTTGAAGAGACTGTCCTTCCCCATGAGTAGTCTTGGCATCCTTGCTGAAGATCATTTAATTGTATATGTGAAATTCATTTCTGGGATCACTATTCTTTTCCATTGTTCTATATGTCTTCCATTATGCTAATATATATATATATATATATATATATATATATATATATATATATATATATATATATTTATTTATTTTGGTACTGGGGATTGAGCCCAGGGGTGCTTAACCACTGAGCCACATCCCCAGCCATTTCTTTTATTTTATTTAGAGACAAGGCCTCACTAAGTTGCTAAGGCTGGCTTTGAACTTGCAATCCTCCTGCCTCAGTCTCCCAAACTGCTGGGATTACAGGCATGCACTACCATGCCCATCATTACAATTGTTTTGATTACTGTATCTTTGTAATGTGTTTTGAAGTCAGAAAGTATGAGACTTTTTTTTAACCATTGTCTTATTTATTCAGGTTCCATATGAGTTTTAATATGATTTTTTTTTCTATTTTAATAAGGGTTATATTAAATTTCTATTTAGATTGCTTTGAGTAGTATGAACTTTTAACAATATTAAGACCTCAAAACCATGAACACAGGATTTTTCATTTTCCATTTATTTGTGTCTTCTTTAAATCTTCCAGCAGTGTTTTGTGGTTTTCAGTGTAAAAGCTTTTTATCTCTTTTGATAGTTTATCCCTAAGTATTTTGTTCTTTTTGATATTATTACAAATTGTGATTGATTCCTTTTTTCTTCTTTTCCTTCCTTCCTGTATTTGGAATCTAATCTATCATTGAGCTACATCCTCAGGCCTTTTTATGTTTTATTTTGAGACAGGGTCTCACTAAGTTGCTTAGGGCCTCGCTAACTCACTGAGGCTGGCTTTGAACTTGTGATTCTCCTGCCCCAGCCTCCTGAGTCACTGGGATTACAGGCGTGCTCTATCTCGGGTTATTTTTCTTGATTTCCTTTTTATATAGTTCATCATTAGCCTATTTTGGTTTTGACTGAGATGATCTCTAGCCTTAGGACCCATACTACAAATCCTTGACCTGACTATGAGGCCCTCTTAGTTTTTCCCTCCCTACCTCTCTGCTGTCTTCTGTTCCCATCTCAGGACCACATGAGGCTCACAGGTGTCTTGGGTTCTTACCAGGCCTCCATGTGGCTATCTCTGCTCATGAACTCCTGTGCCATAGCAGGACAAAACTTCTGTGTGCCTGTGGTCCCTGGAATCTCAGGCAGGACAGGCAGATCTACCCCATTAGATGGCAGTCTGGAAAGAAAGAGAACTATAGGCCCTGTGCTCTTCCCACAGACCCAGTAGCTGTACTTCATTCTGTCGATTCCTTGCCCTCTCCTCTCTACCCCCAGAGAGTGTTTTAAACATCTTATTCCTGGGGCTGGGGCTACAGCTCAGTGGTAAAGTGCTTGCCTAGTATGTAAAAGGCCCTGGGTTTAGTCACACACACACACACACACACACACACACACACAACTCCCCCAAAACAAAACTTGGCCCTGATGGGGAAATCCTGGCTTAGCCGATTCTTACCCAATTCTTTTTTCTTAAATCTGAAGTCCAACTGTTTGTTTATTTTTGTGGGGTTTGGGATTGAACCCAAAGCCCCGCATGCTAGGCAAGTGTTCTGCTCCTGAGCTCCATCCTCAGCCCCCTAAAGTCCAGCTGTTTTAAACATAGAAGGAAAAACAAAACTGGAAGGCTTTTCCATTTCTGCTGGGAAGGCTACTCTTGGAGCAAAGGCCACCAGCCTCAGTTTGGTTTCATCAAGATATAAGGGAGTCTGGGAACATGGTGGCTTTTCCTTCCTCAGTGACAGGTGGGTATTGACTCTTGGTGGTTTGGGGTAATTTCTCTGCCTGGGTTGTTCTTCCCTAGGCTCATCACTGCCAATGAACCCAGACTCAGGGTTAATTTTTAGCCCTTCTGCAGTGGTTCTCAAATGCAGTCCTGGGGCCCATGAGGCCAAGTAGTAGTAGTAGTAGTAGTAGTAGTAGTAGTAGTAGTAATAATAATAATAATAATAATAATAATAAATTGCCTCCCATTCCTCTTCTGACCCAGTATACACTGGAACTTTCCAAAAGCCAGGCAATATATGATATCATAAGGAACTGAATATATGAGAACCTCGCTATCTTCTATTAAGCTATTCTATTAAATACATTGTAAAAAATTATAAATAAATGCTACTATTTTCATTAAAGCTTTTTTAATTTGCAAAAGGTAGATATTTTCATATAACTGCATTATTTGAGTTAAAATGTTTACTATTAATTTTTAAGGAATTGATAGATAATTTTTTAAAAATTTCAGTTGTATTTCTAAATAGGATAGAATTAACCTATAAAAGATCTTTGGGGGTTCTCAGTAATTTTTACAAGTATAAAGGAGTTTCTGAGGCCAAAATGTTTGAAGACTCTCCCAGGGAGGCTGCTGTTCTTCTGCCACTTCTTGGGTGTCTTCAAAGACTCTTCAGTTTTTCTTGAATTTCTCCTTTTGTTAGCGCCATGCCAGCACGGCCACAGGAGGGCAGCAGATTCTGCTGTGAGCCACCAGGGCTCCCTCAAGCATAAGGTGGTCACCAAATGGGCCTGCAGCATTCAGCCAACCAGTCTCTGGAATAGGAAAAGCAAAGATGACAAAACAGGTTCTTGCTGTGTAGGAGGTTCAAGCCCCCATGTTCTTCCTCCCTGGTGACATCAGAGAGGACTGGCTTTTTTTTTTTTTTTTTTTAATCTTGTAAAATTTTATTCATTTAGAAATGTATTCGTTCTTTTGGTCCAACTGTTTCTCACATCTTTTCTGGGCCTCAAACAATTCTATCAAAGGTTTTAGGAAATGATATTTGTTAATAAATTACAGGTGTTAAGAAGTTAATAGCAGAAAAATCCATTGTGATCCATCCACATCTTTCATAGATAATAGTAGTATTCCAGATAAAATGTTATTTAATTCATTACCTGAATGAAAGTAGTAAGTCCAATTATATATTATGCAGTCTTTTTTTTTTTTAATTTTTTATTGTTGGCTGTTCAAAACATTACATAGTTCTTGATATATCATATTATGCAGTCTTGATATCTAGGATAGCTAAAGAAAGGGCCTGTTGTAGGATATCCTTCAGAGTATGTCAGACATGAAGTTCTATCTGACTGCCTCTGAGCACCCTATTACCGCCATACTGGTCTTGCTTTGTTGGGACCCATAAAACAATCTTCCCCCCCAACAGGTGTATATTTTTTATTACTTCTGTCTAGAGCACTCTCTTTCCTCTCCCTATCCCAGATATATAATCTGCTCACCTCATTCTTGTTTTAAATAGCAGCTTCTCCCCTTTAAGCTTCCTTCTGGGTCCTTTGTTTTCCTCCATATCAATCATCTTTATATGACATAATAAATATTTATTTGCTTATTTATTATTTTCTTTTTCCCCATACAGTGTAAGTTCCATTACAACAGTCACGTTTTCTGTGTCTTCAGTGAAAGAACAGTGTTTACTACGTAGCACATCTCCAAATGTTTAATAAACAAAAGAATAAATGTAACTATATTAACTATTTACACGTGGGATGTTTGCTTTCTTGAGCGCAAACTAAATAGATCACGCAACAATCCAGAGTCATGCTTACTGAGCACTAAAAGTTTGGATATAGTAATGAACCTTTCTGGTACTCAAATCTTGGTTTCTTTCTTTTTATTATTATCATTTTTTAATATATGACAGTGGAATGCATAACAATTCTTATTACACATATCAAGCACAATTTTTCATATCTCTAGTTGTATACAAAGTATATTCACACAAGTTTGTGTCCTTCATTCCTGTACTTTGGATAATAATGATCATCACATTCCACCATTATTTCTAACCCCATGCTCTCTCCCACCTTAATGCCCTATCTAGAGTTTGTGTATTCCTCCCATGCTCCCGTTCCCTATCCCACTATGAATCAGCCTCCTTATATCAAAGAAAACATTCGGTATTTGTTTTTTGGGGATTGGCTAACTTCACTTAGCATTATCTTCTCTAACTCCATCCATTTGAGGACTGGCTTTTTGATCCAGGCCCAGGTCAGAACCTGACCACACCACAGAGGTTGATGTATTTGATGAATGCACTTGACTTCCATGTTGTTCAGAGCTGAGCATAAGGGCCTGTTTTCTGGGTGTTCACCTTTAACTGGCAATGTTAGTCCTTGTTGTCATTGTCTGGGAAGAGCACCTCATACCATGTATTGTCAGTAGTATGCAGTTATCAGGCCATAAAGTGGGAAGGGGAGGGGGTAGCCAAGACTTTCCCCTGCCTTTCTATTCATGGATAAAGGTGGTGGTAAGGGCATATGTGAGGTTTTACCCAGAACTAGGACCTCATTTTTTATCAGAACAAGACATGAACATCTCTATCAATGGAAGACAAAGCCCTGGAGCCATTCAATGCACTTCCTGTTAGCCGGTGGTTCCCATGACTTTTTCCAACAACCCTGAAGCAACCTGGCATGAAAGAGCCAGTTCAAATGTTGTTTGGTAGAAAGGGAATGAAATCCAAAGTCACAAGACAAGGGTCCAAGTCCCAAGTCTCCTTAACTCCTGGTTTGGACTCCTTCCTCATTACTACAATGCTAAATCCCACATGTTTCCCCCTGCAGCTGTTCATCATCATATTCAGTCAGCCAGGAATATATAACAATTCACCCATCTTTGCATGAGTGTAGCCTAGTGGCTAAGAGCAGGGCTTTGAAGGGAAAGGCAAAATTACATTCCTGTTTTCACCATGCCCCTAATGACCTGACTTCTTTCCACTAGGCCCTGCCCCTTAAAGGTTCTACCACTTCCCAGTAGAACCAAGCTCAGGAGGAACCTTTTAACACCTGGGCCCTTGGAGACAGTTAAAATCCAAACCATAGCACTTTGCTTGAACATCTGGAGACAGTTCAATCACCATGAACAACCATAAGAGCTAAGAGATATGGTTTATGAAGGTTTACCAAGTGCCAGGTACTATGATAAACATAGGCATGTACCATCTTACTCAATTCAATAACACTAAAAGAGTTACTTTGCTCCTTTTAAAAGTGAAGAAACAGGAGCTTAGAAGAACTAAGTAACTTGTCCAAGGCCTCATAACAAGAAAGTATCCAAATACAAAAATTCAGATTGGCCTGACTAGAATCTAGCCTATCCTACCCCTCACCCCATACATCTCCAACAGCCCAACGTATCACCTCTAATTTTTGGAAAGATCTTCCTTGTATTGTACTGAAATTCAATGCCAATTTCCTCCCTCCCAGATGTACACACATCAGCTTTAGGCCTAAGTGTCTTCTATTTGTTGTTGTTTCTAGATACTAAAAAATGAATACAGTTCTGTCTATTCCACTATTATTGTTGCATTTTTGGAAGTCACATTATCAAAACATAAGAACTAATATTTTTAGAGGTGAAAAAAGACAGGGTTTGAGGTTAGCAAATTTTAGATGGACAATAATAAAATCATTTTCCTGTAGGAATCTTGATTACAAAGCTGCTTTACTGCTTTAGTAGTGTAGCTGTAAAATCAAGCATCGCTTGATTGCTTCTGGGTTTTGCTCACAAGTGCTAGTTTGGCATGTTCTCTCTCTTCTCTCTCTCATCAGAACCATCATTTTTATTTCCTTTATGATTCATTGTCTCATTGTTTAGTTAACAAAGCACAAAGCTTTGTTGTTGTTACCAAAACCAAAATCAAGTGCCGGAGCTATTCCTAACAGTTTTTTCTCTATACACTGTGCCAGCCCCTCCATTGTGATATGTTTATAACCAATAGTAGTTTGTAGAGATGAAAATTGTACTTTCTATTTAGGCAATTTCTTTTTTTTTAATATTTACTTTTTAGCTATAGTTGGACATAACATCTTTATTTCACTTATTCATTTCTGTGCGGTGCTGAGGATCAAACTCAGGGTCTTGCACGTGCGAGGTGAGCGCTCTACCGCTGAGGATTTAGGCAATTTCTTTATTGCCAGTTCTAATTCTGAAAATACCACCAAAGGAAATACACTTGAATTCTCTGTGGTTTGACCAATACAGCTCAGAATTATCAAATCTGCAATTGTGTTTTGGCACCCTCCTGGAGGAAATTATAGTAATTCCAGTTTATCTGTTTAGACTGGGTAATCATCTGAGAGGCCTCTGTGAAACTGATAAGCCTGCCCCCTAGATCAGCTTCAAATCCGTGCTGTCCAGTTTGGTAACTGTTAGCCACATACAGCTATTGAGTTCTTGAAACGAGGCTACTACAACTGGGGGATTAAATTATATTTGATTTTTAAAATTTTTTGATTTGTTTAATTAGTTATATATGTCAGTAGAATGCATTTATGCACTTTGATATATCATACATAAATGGGATATAATTTCATTTTTCTGAGTGCACATGTTGCAGAATCATATTGGTCATGTAGTCACATATATACATACAGTAATAACGTCTGTTTCATTCTACTATCTTTACTATCCCTATATGCACTCCCTCCCATCACTTCCCTCTACCTAATCTAAGGTAACACTATTCTTCCCTAGTGTCCCCCCCCCTTATTGTGAATTAGCATCCGCATATTAGAGAAAACATTTGGCCTTTGGTTTTGTGGGATTGGCTTATTTCCCTTAGCATGATATTTTCCAACTGCAACCATTTACTGGCAAATGCCATAATTTCGCTCTTCTATAAAGCTGAGTAATATTCTATTGAGTATATATGCCACATTTTATTTATCCATTCATCTAATGAGGGACACCTAGATTGATTCCGTAGTCTAGCTATTGTTAATTGAGCTGCTATAAACATTGATGTGGCTGTATCACTATAGTATGCTATTTTTAATTATATTTAAATAGTCACACATAGCTAATGAATACCATATGGAACAGTGTAGTTCTTCATCTCTACCTGAAATACAGTAAATGCATGAAGCAGAACAGAAACCTGCTTCTTCCACTGGATTCCAAACTCTGGAGTGGAGGTGATAACCAACCATTTAGACTTATCATAACTCAGTGTGCATTTTCACCCAGTAGTATACATGCATATCATTGGAGGACTTTGTCAAATGCCTTGTAAAACCAGGATACCCTGTATATGTGGCATTGCTCTGCTCTACCAGTCTAGCATTTTATTTTCAGAAAATAGTGGGGTTTTTTTCCTATTTGAAGAAGTAATATATGCCTACCATGGCAAAATAGAGGAAATTAACACTGACCATTTCTAGGTAATTACTATTAATATTTCAGCATAATTTTTGTATCTGTTTTTCTATGTTGAGAACATACATTCTCCATTACTTGCACACTGCTTTATTTTTTTATTCGAATTTTAAAATTTTTTATTTTTCTGCCAGGTGCGGTGGTGCATGCCTGTAATCCCAATGGCTCCAGATGCTGAGACAGGAGAATTATGAGTTCAAAGCCAGCCTCAGCAAAAGGCGAGGCACTAATCAACTCAGTGAGACCCTGTCTTTAAATAAAATACAAAATAGGGCTGGGGATGTGGCTCAGTGGTTGAGTGCCCCTGAGTTCAATCCCAATTGAACCAAAAATTTGAAACATATATCATGTATAAAATGTTGTTCTGAAATATATATACATTGTGGCAAGGCTAAATCATGTTAACCTATGTATTATTTCACATACTGATTTTTGTGGAGAAAACACTTAAAAACTATTCTCTCAGCAATTTTCAAGAATACAACTCATTGATATTAATTATTGTCATTATGCTGTACAATAGAGCTCATAGACTTATTTGTTCTAATTGGAGTTTGTTTTTTTTTTTTACCATTTGACCACCATCTTCTTAAAAGCACCACACCCACTGCAAGTCACTAGTAACCACCAGTTTGCTCTCTGCTTCTATGAATTCAACTTTTTTGGATTCTACATATAAGATCATGTGGTGTTTGTCTTTATGTGCCTGACTCATATGTCCTCCAGGTTCATCCGTGTTGTCACAAATGACAGCATTTCCTTTAATATTGAATGGTATTCCATTATGTATTATACCACATGTTCTTTATCCATTCATTCGTTGGTGGAATTTAGGTGATTTCATATTTTGGCTGTTGTGAATATTCCTGCAATAGACATGGGAGCAAATGTCTCTTCAACGTACTGATTTCATTTCATTTGAATATGTACCCAGTAGCTGGATTGTGGTAGCTCTGCATTTAATTTTTTGCTTTTTTTATTGATGATATTTTATCACATTATTAATTACTTTTCAAAAACAACTTCAAATACTATATAATAGGACTGGGGCTGTAGCTCAGTGGTAGAGCACTTGCCTAGCACATGTGAGGCACCATGTTCAATCCTCAGCACCACATAAAAAAATAAAATTATTTTTTAAGGGGCTGGGGTTGTGGCTCGGTGGTAGAGCACTTGCCTAGCATGTGTGAGGCATTGGGTTCAATTCTCAGAACCGCATATAAATAAATTAAGATAATAAAGGCCCATCAACATCCAAAAATTTTAAAAAATATATTTTTTAAGAAAAGCAAAGGCCTTTCATCTTGTCAAAGATTATAGGACCTGAAAAAAATGAATACGTTTTTTAAAAAATACTGTATAATGATAGTTCACTGTAGCAATAATTAATAATTTGTGTAACTATCACCTTCTTCTATACTTTTAGGTTGCATCTGATTTTTTTTTGAATAAAGAATTAATTATAACTCTACATCATGTACAACCAGAGAATGAAAAGTTAAACTCCATTTATGTATGATGGGTCAAAATGCATTCTACTGTCACATATAACTATTTGGAACAAATACAAAAAAGAATTAATGAAAATCTTTTTGTGCAAAATAACTGTCCATAATTTGCATTATTTGCTTAGCATAAACTTCCTGAAGAATATGAAATTGTTAAAGTTAATTCTTTCACAGGAAAAGATGAAGTTAGTCCTCATTATCTCCCTTTCAGTTTACAACCAGATACTCCCTTATTGAGAGAATTAGATCAAAATTGTCGTCTCTTCCTCATTTTCTCTACTTCCAAAGATGTGGATTTGTCGTTTGGACAAGTATTTAGCAGAAATTTTATTTCAGTTTTAAAAGAGTGAGAATAAAATATTCACAGCCACAATTGCCTGGTACATAGTGAAGATGGATCTTGCTTGACATCCTACTCTGCAACTTAGATAAGTTTGTATGGCTGAGTTTGGCAGAAGAAATGATAGAAAAATAAATGACTCTATAGAATAAAACAAGGATTTGGAATTCTGGAGGTAATACAAAAGAGATGGATAAGGAGGAAAGATGAGAGAATAAAGAGAGAGGCTAGACCATTCCACGTGGAGAATCAGCCTACGAAAACCTTCACGAGACTGGATAAAGGAGGTCCAGGGTGACTCGTTTTGGAGTTGTTCCCCTGAAGGGGCTGACAAAAGCACTGGATAGGGACAGCCCAAGGCTAGTGAGATAGTCTGCACACTAAAGTCGGCAGATGCAAGGGCTCAGAGCCAGATTGGTCAGCAGTGTAAGCCTCTTTCCACCTTCCACTCAGGTCTCCCTCCGAGGACCGGCCAAACTTTTGAGGAGGACTTTAGACTCCCACTAAATGCGGAATAGAAGTTTGAAACAACTTTATCCACAAAGGCTCCAGATGATATCTGAGCCATTGGTAAAATAATACTACAGATAATATCATAAAATAAAAATTAAGAACTAAGTAGGTAGGTCAGGTTTGTGGTCCCTTAAAATGCAAAGGCCCAAAGAGATTAATGTACCTAAGGGACCTGGTGTAATGGCCAGGCTCTGCTCTGTTCTCAGATTCTTTGGTTTCTTCTTCAATGTCCAGGGAGAGGAAACAGTGGTGCCATGGTAGAGGCAGGGTAGCTCCTCTTTCCCTCCCTCCCCAGGCACTAGGCACTCCCAGTCCCTCAAAGGCTTAGTTTTTCCCTGAGCAACTTCCACAGGGGCCTTGGGGGCTTTTCAGTAATTACTTCTACCAATGGTCTGAGCTCAGGGGAATGTATGAAGAGGAAAGGAAGAGGTTTCTACCATCTCATAGACAGACAGATTTTCCCTAGTAAGGGGAAGCATGTAAGAAAAAAGTTTATCAATAAGTTTATCAGTTGTCCTAAAGATATATTATCTGATATCAGAAGGTTTTCTTTGTTCCTATCAAATATTTAGGCACCAGATCAGAAGAATGAATCCAAGGTAGAAAGACACAGGGACCAACAGGGCAGCCATATGGAAAAGTTTGTTTATCTGACCCACTGTTCTCTTCTTGTCCAGATAAGGACACATGTTTGTGTGTTGACTGATGAGGACAGGAGGAGGTTTCCTGAGTGCAAAATGCCAGGCAAACCCTGAGATAAAAAGTCATAAATAGACCCAGAGGCTGACCCAGAGCCAGGCTCAGTGTCCTTGGGCTGGTAGGACTTGTAGGCTAGGTCCCAAGAGGCTGGGAGAGGGGCTGGGGATGAGCGGCTGATGTGGAAATTTCCATGAGCTGCCCACCAGCTTTTGGGACACTCTGGACTCCATGTGGCTTGGGGAGAACCTGGGTTATGAAAGAGGTACAAGACGTGGTCCCAGCTCATGAGGAGCTAAGTCCCTGGAGAAAGGAGTCAGAGTGCTTGCCAAGAAAGCAAGTGAACAAACAGGTTTCAAAATCTTAAGCCAAAGTTGAAAATAAGGTCAAGGCATGGAACAGAGCCAGGAAAAGTCAATATCACCTTCCAATTATTAGAACCCTATTTTACCTCCTAAGGAGAATGTTGAAAATACTTCATATTAAGGTAAAAGATGATTTTATTTCTTTAAATACTAACAAATGGATCAAATATTAATGTTTAAAATGCTTTTATTAGTGTTTTATAGTTATACATGATAGTTGGGTTCATTTTGACATAATCATAAATGCATGGAATTTAATTTGCTCTATTTCAGTTCCCAGTGCCTCCTCTCTCCCTCTCCTCCTCCCTCCCTCCAACAATATATTAATTTTTAAAAGGAAAAAGTATTTACAATATATTATCACTTGCCAGAGCCTTAGATACTCTTATTAATTTGAGTTAAAATTACAAAATCATTTTTAACACAAAAATTAAAAAAAAAAAAGAAAAGAAAATTGTCAAAAGATGTCTAGAGCTATAGCTTGGTGGCAGAACAATTGTCTAACACTTGCAAGACCCTGAGTTCAATCCTCAGTGCTGAAAAAAAAATGGCATCAGTTCTTTGACTTGGCAATTTTTACCAAAAAGTTTTAAGTATACAATTTTGTAAAAGCAGAAGTCACAACCCTCCCAGGAATTGAAGGTGTGTGTTCTTCTCTAAGAGGATTCAGATATTGTGAATGTGTGAATGTGGGTGCATACACTTACATACAACATTTGAACCCACAGCACTCACCAAAATGCTGCCTTCTTTCTACAGTTTATATATAGTTTGAGTGTGTTCCCTAGCATTTATATGTTGGGAGCTTGGTCTCTACTATGGCGGTGCTGAGAGCTAGTGGGACCTTTAAGAGGAGGGGCTTAATGGGAGACTCTTAGGTCACTGGGGAGCCGTCCTCAGAAGAAATTAAGGTAGCTCTCCTGGGACCCCTGAACTTTTATAAGCCCAACCCCTTACTCCTCAGGCTTCCTGTTTCCATGTGATCATTTCCCACATGCACTTCTGCCACAATCCATCTGTCATTAGACCTTTACCAGAGAACAAACCAATGGGGCCCCAGGATCTCGGACTTTCAGCCTCCAAAACTGACAAATACAATTTCCAAGGCACTGGTTAGATTGTGCTTGTCAGCAAGAGAAAACACAAAGAGGCTTTATTGGTTCACATAACTAAACAGTTAAGTGTTAGGGGAGACTTCTTATATGTTTTAATCAGGGCTGCAGCTCCATTTCTTTCTCTGATTCTCTCTGCCTGTACTCCTTTGTGGGCTAGATTGCCATATGGCTGTGAACAGCAACTTGTGCTCCAATGAGTCTAGGGACAAAGAAGCTATTGCTTCCTGTAGCTACTGCACAGAAATACTGAGCTTCATTCTGATCAGACCATTGCATGTCCTGTGCTAACTGGCTCAGGCTCAAACAACTTTCTTCTTGGTAAGAGGTTGAAAATGGCTTACACCCTGGGTGGGGGGCACCCCCTGGAGCTACCACTCAAACTGATGGTACCTACACAATGGGAAGGAAGAAAAGAGATATTAAGACATTCACAATGCCTACCATACCTTAGTTGCAGTTGTTTTAAAAAATTGGTGTATTTATTTATTTATTTAAGAAGTACTTTCTAAGTATCAGGTACTTTGGGAGACATAAAGACATGAAGTTTGCCAACTATTAGATAAAAAAAAGACAAGTTGACAACTGCCATACAGTGTTAGGTATAATGTGAAAAAGGCATGCAAATGCTAAAAGAAAGTCTATAAAAGTAAAGACAGATTGCTTCTAGTTGAGGTGATCAGAGAGGCATCATATAAAAGGAACATTGGAATTAGCTCTCAAGGAATGAATTGGATTTCAATGATTGCAGGTGAGAAGGGAGGGCATTTGAGGCAAGGAAGTAACATCCCAGAGGCAGGAAACCAAGGGGAAGTTGGAAAGTTGGCACATACCTGTACTCCCAAGGAGTAGGGAAACTGAGGCAGGATGATCTCAAGATTAAGTCCATCCTTAGCAACTTAGACCCCTGTCTGAAAATGAAAATTAAAAAGAGCTGGGGATGCAGCTTAGTGGTAAAGTGCTCCTGGGTCAAACCTCAGTACCACAAAACAAGGGAGAATTGGACAAAGGTGGCATCCCTTAGCACAAGTTCTAGAAGTTGTTGCTAGAATGAACTACGTCGGGTTGCAAGATAATGGAGTCTTTATTTTTCCCCATGAAAATTGACTTATGCCCCCATTTGCCTGATTAGCAGAAAGCTCAGTCTGCTCCTTCATGGGGCTCCTGCACCTTCAATTTTTCCCAGATCCAAATTGTACACAAAGTACAGACTGCAATCAGTCTAACTTTCACTTGCAGCAGAGGCCATTGGTCCTTTCAGTCTACGGGCTGACACAAGTCTCCAGGTCTCTGTGGCTCCTCAGGGAGGATGATTCCACTTGCGTCTAGTGTGTTCCTCATCCGTGGTGGTTCAGAGCTCCGATCTGAGAACTCTACACTTCAGGTAAATTCCCCCAACCACTGAGTCACTAGGGACTCTGGGTAACAGGTAGTTTGGGGTATCCTGTGGATGTAGAACTCCTATCTTTTCCTGGGATCCACAGCACTAGGAGGCAGGGAGATCCCCTTCCCCAAACAATACCACAACCCGCCTTCCCTTCTGTGGACTTCCCCTTGCCACCCTTTCCTCGCTCCTCACACACACTTGAGGTTCTTGGGGTGAGGGCCTACCCCAAGTGCCTTACCATGACCAGGGGCTGTCAGATGCCTTTCTCATTGACTCAAAGAAAGAAAAGAAAACCCAAAGTTCAACACCAGAGTGACATTCTGCTCTTGAACTCGTAGGTTCGTGCCTCTTAATCTTTTCCAGGATCGCTTACTTCACCCAAGGGAGCCAGCCCTCCTGCGTTCTTTTATTGCTAGTTCACATTGACGTTTAACCTCCTTGGATATTGGCAAAACTTGTGTCCTTGATCAGTCTTCACATATACGTTGACCTCTTTTTTCCTTGCAGCTAGTCTGACCCTGCCTTGATGGCTTTTCTGCCCACAGAAGGCCCTGACTAAGCCCCACTGTTTTTCATACACATAGCACCTCTCTTCTAAACTGCCCTGCCCAACCTTGCTCTTGTAACCCTGGCTCTGAATATCTCACAAAAAAGTGGGCAAGAGAGGCTGGGATTGTGGCTCAGCAGTAGAGCGCCCCCCTAACACGGGTGGGACTCGGGTTCGATTGTCAGCACCACGTAAAAATAAAGGCATTGTGTTGTGTCCATTTACACCTAAAAATAAATATTAAAAAAAAAAGTGGGCAAGAGATAGACACAGAGTTGGGCTCAGCTTAAGGTTTCCAGCCTTTAGAATGTCTGCCGCTTTTCTAGCTTGTAAATTTTAGGCCCAAATCTGGAAATTACTTCAAAAATTATGTTAAAGCAAACAAAGCTCTTTTTAAAAAGTATCCCATGACTGTCTGAAGGAGAACAAAATGAAAAATGTATTCAACAACTAGGATGGCTTCCCCCACACCCTGCAGAATTGAAAGATGTGAGAATGAATCATAGGCTCTTTTCAATTCAATTGCTACTTCCTAATTCATGTCATATAATCAGTTATTTTCCCTTCACAAAATCCACATCGAGTCAGAACAGTTGCCTGTGGTGAGTGGGTGGTGCTTGAAAAGAGGAACATAAAAGAACTTTTTAGAGGCATAAAATTTCTCTTTCCCCTTAACCCCCAAGCTGGGGATAGAACTCAAGGCCTCATGCATGCTGGGCAAGTACTCCACCACTGTGCTATACATCCCCAGAATGACTACAGACCAATTGGTGTTGGTTACATGATGTTTTCATTTGTAAAAATGTATGCATTGTAGACTGAAGATCTGTGCATTTTGCTGTAGGTAAATTATATCTCAATGTAAACAGAGAAAATTTAAACCAATGATTCTGACACATGTGGCTAATGTCCTTCTGCTACAGCATGTTGAAAGAAACTATTCTGAAAGAAAAAAGCAATAGACTCCTGAGATGGCAGACTCCCTCCATGCACAGGGTAAGTAAACAGGAAGAGAAACCACAGGTCTTGTTAATGGGCTCAGCTGGGATGTTTCCAGTTGTGGGAGCTGAGCCTCTTCTATAATGTGCTTAATCACTTCTAATTGTACAGTCAGCTAATTACAGTAATTAGTCTTGCCTTGGTTCAGCAGGGTTGGGAATTCCTTTACATCATTCTCTTAAGGATGGGGTTGGCACTTCCTCAAGTTTGGTTGTCTTCTTCAAATTGTGGCATGTGAACTCCTGGGGTCCCTGACATGATCTGTTGGCCTTGCATTTTCAGCACTGAGTGCTTGGGGATGGGTGACTAATCTTGGAGCCAGTGAGTCATATGTCTCAGGCCTGAGCACAGTGGGAGCACTTGGGCTCGATCCTGGCACCCCTCTCGGTTCACCAACCCAGCCCCACTTAGGTCCAAATTAATCACATTTTGAAAATAGGATTATTCACTACAGCACTGTTTGTAATAGCAAAAGAATAGAAACAGTCTGCCTGCCAGGAAACTGGTAAAGTAAATTAGGATTCATCTATATACTGCAACACTGAGAAAAAATGACGAGGATGCTTTTTTACACGGATTTGGAAAGAGCTTCAAGCTAGTATTGTTAAATGAAAAAAGAAGAACGGACCCGTAATATGGCCATGGCTTTAAAAGGAGTGTAGGTTCATATTTGCTTGAACCTGTATAAGGACATTTTGAAAAAGATACTTAGCAGTTGTCATATTTGTATGGAAGGGTATGGGTGTGGGGGATTTGGGGCTGAGAAGTGGATAGGAGACAAATGAAATTCAGGGGAGATTTTACATTGCAAACCTTTTAAAAATAGATTTTTTTAAAATAATCAAGTGAATGCATTACCTAATGAAAGATTGAAATCAATTAATTAAAATGTTCAAAAGGGTTTTTTTTTCTTTTTTAAGTAGGAAAAAGTGTTAAGGGAAGGGGGAGTTCCATGATCCCTCAATCTGGCATTGCCCAAACAGTGATTGTGAAGGTAGAATGGGAAATTCATCTATATTTAAAACAGTGATAGAAGCTGGGCATTTTGTTTGTTTATTTGGTGCGGGGGATGGAACCCATGGCCTCCTTTATGCCAGGTAAATTCTCTACCAAACCCTAGTCCTAGAATCTGTTTCGTGTGTGTGTGTGTGTGTGTGTGTGTGTGTTTGGTACTGGGAATTGAACCCAGGGACAATTTATCACTGAGCACATCTCCAGCCCTTTTTATTTTTTTGATTTTGAGACAGGGTCTCACTCAATTGCTTAGGGAATTGTTAAGTTGCTGTGACTCTGATCTTGAATTTGTAATCCTTCTGTCTCAAGCCTCCTGAGTCCCTGGGATTACAGGCGTGGGCCACCATGCCCAGCTTAGAATCTGTTTTAATTCCTACTTTGTTATACTACTTTATTTACTCAGCAAATAAAAGAGCTATTAAACAATTACCCTCTGATGACAGCCCCTGGGGTTTGGGCTGGGCACACCAGGCAGCCACGGACAGCAGGTGTCCAGGTCATGACTCCGTTACTCAGCATCTTCCTGCTTGGAAACAAATCCTCCTGTGCTGGTGGCTCTGCTCACTATGCAGTTGTAACTTGTTTTATTCTTAACTATGTGTTAAGCAATACCCCGAAGGGTCCAGGAATCAAAAGGAATACTGACATTGTCCACAACTAGGTAATGTGGTACATGAAAATTATAAATTATAAAAGTACCTCAGGAGTTTTCTCTAGATTTGAAAGTTGTGATCTTTCAACTTCTATGGAAAAATCAAGCTGTTCTACTTTAAATATAATCTGAAAGAGAAAATATTGCAAGCAGCACATAATAAATTGATTTACCAAGTATTATGCACTGAGATTATACTTTGACTTATTTAGAAATAAAAGAAGAAATTATTGAAGTAAACTAGTTGATTTTAGACACATATAATGTGAAAATCCTGCATTCCTTGTAACTATGTATTAGTAACACAAGAGTTATCTAAAGGCACTTGAAGCATGATAGCTAATGAATCAGATGAAGTTATGGAGAATATTGTTCCTTTTTAAATTTAACTTTTAAATTTCAACATATGTAAGTTATTTTCATGTGTATGCATGTTAATTTAGTAAAATATAGATAGTAATACAATGTCTTTCTGAATATATATATATATATATATTATAATATGGGTTTACTTATTAAGGAAAAATAACTAAAATTATACAAAGTGTACTATGTTACAGGTATCATCTTAAGCACTTTGCAAAAAGTTACTTGTTTAATTCTCAACGGTCCTGTTAGACATAGGTATTACTGTTATAGAGACAGAAAACTGAGGAACAGAAAATTTAAGTTGGCCAGGGCCAGTTGGTAATTAGCAGAGCTGTGATTCTAACCCAGAGTGTATCACTCCATTTTCCATGTTCTTAACCATAGTGTTTATTGAGCACTGTTTGCCAGTGACTATTCTAGGCTCAGAGGATTTAGTCTTGAACCAAAGAAATAGTTTTTGCTCTCATTGGGAGAGACATGTGATAAACAAATAGATAATATGTTAGATAATGAAAAATAAACTAAATAAGGGAGTGGGGAGTTGTTTTACGACCAGAATAAGGGACCAGATGGGCCCTGTTTCAGTAGGATGATAAGGTGACATTTTGTGATGTACCTATACAAAGTGTGAGTGAGCCATGAAGACATCTGAGGGAAGAGCAAGTGTACAGTCTTTGAGCTGCGACTCTTATTGACATGTTAGAACATTGCCAGGAGGATTTTCTTAGTGGAATAAAGTGGGAGAGGGAGGCAGCATTTGAAAAATAACACCTGGAAGACACCTGGATAAGGTCATGTTGTCTTATGGAGCAATGTAAAAATTTCGCCTTTTATTCTGAGTGAGATGAGAAGTCAGCACTGGGGTGTGAGTTTAGAAATGCCATGATCTGACTTTTGCTTTAAAACAAAGGATCACTGTAGGAAGATGTGTGGGAACAGACTACTTAGTTGACTATTGAAATAATTCAGATGGTAGATGATGTTGACATATCCTAGGGCAGTGGTGATGCTGACTCAGGAGGCATTTGAAGATGGATTGGAAGAAGTTGCCCACAGATTTGATGTGAGGTATGACAGAACAGAGGAGTCAAGGAGGATGCAAAGGTTTTGGTCTGAGTAATGGAAAAAATGACTGGTTCTTAGAGGGAAAAGCAGGAGAGTATAATGTCCCAGAGGCCAAGTCAAATAGCCGTATCAATAAAAGGGATAATGTCAGTGCAAATGGCAAATTCTTTGAAAAATTCTGTCCTCCACAAAGACAATGAGGAAACTGGCAAAAATGGTGAGAACATACTTTTCTTCAAAATTCTTCAAACTCACTACAGTCTTTGCAGCCGCGTGGAAAGAACTGATGGAAGAAAAATGGCTGAATCTCAGTAACAACAGTAAGCTTTGCAGTGTTTCAGCTTGCTCTAGTCTTGTTCCTCTCTCTTCAGATATGTGGTAGCCTCGGAAAATAAGTCTGCATTCCTGGTACCGCTTGGCTGCCACTGGAGGGAGCAGAATAGAGCTGAAAAATCTTTCTCATTCTCAGAAAATTGTCATTATTTTACCTGTGTGGTGGTTCCCTGGGAGATCTCTTACAAAGATGCCTCTATTTGACATGGCTTAAGCTCCTGCATTGTGAAAAACTGAGAAACTGATGTGACTCCATTTTTGAGAAACCATCTTCTACCTCAAGGCCTGTCCTAAGGAAGGGGGCATGACCCTTGTCCTGGGAAAAACCCACAGAGCACTTCTAAGCACATACC